TTTTTTTTTACATCAATGATATTATTAATGACATTTGAACTCCCCTCTGTCTAGAGGAACTCAACAAAAAATCAACCTTAACACTAACTTTCTGGGCTAATTCAGCATTTTAAATACTTGTTGCTAGGGTAATATGCTGCCTAGCAACTGTTGCAATGGTTTACTTGGGGTTTTTAATGTCTTAAAATAGTATAGTGATAGTTCTGATGGTTTGAAACATTATTAAAAGCCTTTTTAAATCATTTAAACTGAACAAGAAAGGTCCAATTAGCTTGTTACTAAGGTAAATCACTTCCTTAGCAACGGTTGCTAAGCAACACTTTGAAATTTTGGGCACTGCCCTTGAAAATGATCAGCATAGTCCAAAGAACATTTGTGCCAAGTTTCATGCTTTTTCCACCTTTTGAGCAATTTTTGCACCAGTCATCTAGACTAAGCTGGCTACGTGAACTTTCGTTATTCTAGCCAAAGATCATAGCAAATGAAGGAAAGAGTTTAATATAAGAATGAAAAGGGCGGTGCAGAAACTTTCACAAATTTAAGTATATTTTCTAATGATGTCCTTTTAAGCAATGCGTTTTAATTACAAATATATAAATAAGCCAATAGTTAATTTGTTTGCAAAAACGCGAATTACGGATTTTTGGTCAGGTATTTGAAGGACATGGATATCTACTACTTGATTAATCTGACACGTAACGTGATGCTCAATTTTGAGGCTGAAGTAAAATATTCTAAAAAATTACACACACACACACACACACAAAGAAAAAATAATATTTCCAGCTGGCCTTACTAACCTCTTTCAATTTCTCCACGATGGCTTCGTACTGCGAGCTGATATTGCGGGCGGTCTGGCACTTCATGAGGGCTTTGTCCAGGGAGTTCTCTAGAAGACGAGTGTGCTGAAAGGGAGCAAAAATAGAATGTATTTGGATTGCCCACAACAAGAGGACTTGCGGACAGCAAATATTACTTGTCTCCTGACACACGTATTTATTTATTTTGGCAATCATTCGTTCGATCCCCCAGCTCAGGTGTATTTCACGAAAGGACTTCGTCCAGATCACGAAGATTACCAGATCTGAACTGTTTTAACCACAATTGAGGTATGATATAGGCATGCTATTTTTGTGACACTGAGGCCCATATTACCATGGCAACAGAGCAGCCGTGATCGTATAGTGGTTAGTACTTCTCGTTGTGGCCGAGACAACCCAGGTTCGAATCCTGGTCACGGCAATACTGAACTTTTTACGCTTCTAAAAATATTTACTGACAAATAAATAAATAAATAAATAATAAATAAATGCATAAAAAGGAAATACCGCACCCCACTATCAAACATTTTCCGTTCAAATTTTAATCTAATTTAAAATTCTTTACGTAGCTGGTACTGTACAATCATTCTAATTCAATGTAAAGCGCATAAAAAGCAGATTTGCACTGCATTTCGTGTCATTACTTGTCATCAAAAACATTGCCCAACAGAAACTTAACTAGTTCTCCCTTTTCATGGCATAATATTTCTGGATTTGTAAACATTTGAGCATATATGGGCTGTTCCGGAAGGAAGAATGCTAAGAGACATAAACGTAAACATAAACGTAAACATTCCGGAACAACCTGTGATACACTATTCCTTTCACAACTCTTTTTTTTTCACAATACGAAATCAATGTCCATGAACCAAGTATTATATGAATGTTCATATATTACCCTCATTTCCTCCGAGTCGCACTCTTCCTTGGCCAGTATGTCAGCCATGCGATCTAGTTCTGCCTGTAACTCCTGTACCTTCAGCTCCCTCTGCACGCGCTGATGGCGTAATTCGTTCAGCTGATTTGCTGTCTCGCACATTTTTTGGTCAACGGCTTCTATCGCTGTCTGGAATTTTTGAGGTTCAATAAAATTTGTGGCTGATTTACTTTTTTTATCAAATACGAAGTCGTGTAGTTCAAAGTAAATGAAATCTGCAAAGATAATATCGTTACTCTTGAATATGACTAGAATAATTTAAGACCCAGTTGTACATTTTCCAACTCAATTAATTGGTTTTTAAACAAATGGTGGTATAGGTTAATTTCTACATTTTAGGGGTTAAATTAACCAGAAGTAAATGCAAGTATGATATATACCTCTGCGCTATACCTTTGCATCGACAAACGTTCCTTGCGTCGGTTTTGAAAAACAGCTTTGATGACTTTTTCGTCCCCCTGAAATATGGATAATTATTACAGTGGTCATTTAAGTACTCTAAGTAAGGCCTACCTAAACGAATTAACGATTTTTCTTTCGTAAAAAAAATCATAATCATAATCCGGCAGCATTTTTCTCAAGAAAGCGTCGTCTTAACCACTTTTATAACCCCAACCCATAATCACTATTTTTCTCACTGCACTATATTCGTATTACTTTCTTAATTTTCAATGCTTGTTTCATTTTCTAACTTCTATTTCTAGTCCCTTTTTTTAATAAACCCTGATTTTCATACATGTACATCCTTTTTAACATCAACGATCTTTTTATTCTTTCTTTTCTTTTCTTTTTTCACATTTTTAAACCTGTTCAGTGCGTATCTCGATAAATGTGGACTCTTTTTCGTATTAATGAAAATCATCGGAGAGAGCCCAAAGTCAGAGGTCACAGACTGCACCACACTTGTCTCTTTCCTGCTAGTTAACATTAAATTAATCCAAACACCAAACCCGTAATGTCGTAAAAAATTTTAAGTTAGATTCTAACAGCATAACTATTGGATTTTCTAACTTATATCTCAATGCCTATTTGATTCAGCTAGTCAAAATTCTAATTGCAAGAGGGGGACCATTGTCGTGATTTTTTTTCAGAAATTGAAGGGGGTGTCTGT